TTCCTTCCTCACCCACCTGGAAGCCAAAGGCAGAAAGGGTACTGGTAGGATGTATACAGACCAAGAAGTGAAATAAAAACAGTTGAGTTAATTTTGGACAGTATTTCCACTGCTCTGGATAAGAACAAAATGCATCTACATGTATGACCTACTGAACACCAGCTGTGTGATTTTGGTGATTCTGCATGTTTCTACATTTGCATTTAAAACTGGCATTGAAAAATATAAAGATGGATGGGAAAATTCATACCAGTAATTTAAAATTTTTGTTTTTATTTACTTAAGATTGACATCAAAGAGCAAAAAAAAAAAAAAAAAAAAAAAACACCATACTAAGTTCAGAGAAAAAGACTGTGGAAGAAAGAAAAAGGCCTCATATTTTAGTGCCTCTAATGCGCGATTTTCCTGTTCATCAAACAAAAAGGCTCATGTCCGTCTTGCTCTGGGCCCACCCACAAACGACACAGTCAGCCTTGCTTGTGAATTCCTTATCTGCTTAAGCCAGCTTGATTTCATTGCCCGTTATTTGCTATCACGAGTTCTAACTAATTTGGAAACATATTTGAACTTGTTGGGATTTTAACTTGGTACTTTGCTCCAACTACTCCATTCAAATGAGTGAAAGCGTGATGTGATGCAAAAAACATGGGCTTTGATAGAAGCAGAAAAGAGGCTCAGCGACATTCACTGATTTGGACAAAGTCACACAGCTTCCAATGAAAGGATCTGAGATTTGAATCCAGCTCATTGTGACTCTTGAAAGTTTGCTAGAACATTCTGAAAATGTCCTGTTACTACTACACTGTTTAGTATGGTAGACACTAGCCACAAATGACTAATGAACACATGAAATGTGGCTAGCGCAACAAACGACTGTATTTTAAAACTATTTCACTTTGATTTAAATTGTATGACTAGCGCTACCGTATTACACTGCACAGATCCCGAGCTTGTGCCCCTGCTCTGCACCCTGAACACTTCGCTGAGTCAGTAAGTGCCTATGGAGAGGCTGAATCGCTCAGTGGCTCCCTCTGATACATGGTTCTTTTTCTGTTTGTTTGTTTTTTAGATTTTATTTATGCATTTAGAGAGGGGAAGGGAGGGAGAAAGAGAAGGAGGGAAACATCAATGTCGGTTGCCTCTTGAGCGCCCCCTACTGGGGAACCTGGGCCCACAACCCAGGGATGTACCCTGACTGGGAAGTGAACCTGCGACCCTAACCCTTTGGTTCACAGGCTTGCACTCAATCCCCTGAGCCACACCAGCCAGGACTTGATACGTGCTTCTTCAATAGAGTCTTGGCATATGGTAGGTTCTCAACAAATAGCCGCTCAGTGTTTTCATGGGTGCTCAGGCCCAATTTCTATAGATGAAAAATCTAGTCAGGAGGGGCTGGAAAGGGAAGAAGCAAGGTGACATGAGAGAGCTGGCCACACGAGAGTCACTTTACCCCATCCTCTGAGGCAAACATGGGAGAGGACCAGCCTCAGTGGAGGTCAGAACAGCCCCTTGGTGACTAACGCTCGAAGGAATCCACACCCGCCGGGTCCATGGTCCACGGAAAACCTTCCCAGAAGGGCCCAGCCTACAGTGAGCTCGGGAAACGTGTCAGGGAGGATATTAAGGCGCCTCTGGTATGTCTCTGGAAAGCAGCCAACAAACCCAGAGCTGTCATCACCATAAACCCAGCTAGCAGCTCAGACAGCTCAACCTAAATGCATTTGGATACACGGTGGAAGGGGTGAGGCCCCAGGCCCTGCCGCCACTCCAGGCCACTGATCCACTGCAGGTTCCCAGACCAGCCCCGGCACCTCCAGCCTGGGCTCCTCTTTCAGAACAGACTCCCCTCCTCCTTGACCAGCACCTCCTGTGCTGGGTTAACTCCTGTCTTATTCAGGTCTCTGACGAAATGCCCCCTCCTCTGGGAAGCCTCCCTGGGCTGAGTTGGCCCCTCTGCTGGCCCTAAAGAATCATCCATTATTAACAAAGAAATGGCCCCTGCTGCACCCACCCCCTCCCCCCTGCACACCCCAAACAGAGTTGCTGTGGTTAGAAAGAGCTCGACTGAAAACTCACTTCTGCAGAGTGGGGAGGCTGCACTTGTGAGCTGTGGTTTGGGGACCATTTTTGACAACTCCGTTTCTCTTTCCTGCTTGTAGCATCTTCACCTGTGCAGCTCAAGTCTCCCAAGGAGCTTCTCCCCGGCTTCCTGCTGCCCATCAGTCACAGCCACTCTGGAGGGCAACTCCTTGACCCTTGCAATGCTTTCTAGGTCCCTCTCATATATCCTCCAACTCTGAAGCTGATCCATCAAGGCATTTTCAAATGACACGAGAACAGATAGACTTAATTTTATTCTCATAGATTTTTATTTCTTCCCAGAGTCATTTACAGGGTATCTGGGGCTTATCCCTGGGTGGCGATGGGAAAAGGGCCTGAGTGAGTGGAGGGAAGAGAACAGGCGTGTCGTGTCTGGGGCAGGCAGGGAAGGCTGCAGGGCAGATGGGGCATTTGACCTCTGACTTCGGAGAGAACATTCCAGGCAGGGGGAATAGCATGGGCAGAAGTGTGGAGGCCTCAGAGAGGGTGCAGGGCTCATGGAACTCGGAGTCCTTTGGTGTTGCAGAAGCTCAAGATAGGGGGCGATGCTGAAGAGGTGATCGGACGCAAGTCCCCGAGAACCCCAAACACTTCCCTAAGGAGCAGCACTTCATTTCGGAGGCTCGAGTGCTCCAAAAACACCAGACCCAGGGGTTCTCTGCTCCAGAAGAGGGCTGGGATTCTGTATCCCTCACTTGGAGACTTCCTCCAAAATATGTTAGTAGTGTGAGGGCTCTGCTGAACTGAATAGCAGCAACTGCTTATGAGTGTCTGCAAGCCACCAGGCAACACTCTCAGCACCCAGCATGCATCGCAACCCTACTAACAAGGTGCTGTCGTATTGTTCCGATTTTACAGGGACTTGAAGAAATCTGTTGAAGGTCACACAGCATGCAAACAGTACAGCTAAGATTTAAACTTGAGCAGTCTGACTTTGAGCTGTCCTGGAATAAAGAACTCGCTTAACTTCGTTTCATCCAGCATTTCTCAGTTTGTTTTTAATGACGGGGGCGGGGTGTGGGGGCGGGGTGTGGATTGCATATCTTACAGCATTGCAAGGCAACTGGTCCTGTGGGAAATGGGGAACTATTAAAGGGTTCTTATCCTGGCACCTTTCAATTTGATTTGCAAATATCCTTAGTAAGCTCATTATGCATCACTTACATTTACTGTGAATTAGACCCTTCCTAGAGTTCCTCAATTTTCCTCTAAGCTCTCTGAGGGCAAGTACTGTGTCAATTCGTGGCTGTGTCCCCAGTACCCAGAGGGGGTGATATGAGGTGGTGCGACAGGAACATTGGCTTGAATGAGTTGTGATTTCCCCTGTTGAAGACAGTGGGGGCAGTGGAAAGAAAAGCCTGCAGTCTGGGAGGCAGGTGGCAGTGGTGTCAGAGTGGGGAGGGTGGATGGGCAGAAAGCAGCCGGGGTTGTGGGGTCATCATAGGAGTGAGAGTCTTGGACTGAGGGGAAAGCAAGACTTCACAGCAAGGTTAAAGGCCAGGCCTGGATATTGATCTAAATATAAATCCAAATATCTACTCAGATGTTTCTCTTCTAGACAGTAATTAAACCACCTGATTAATCAGAAAATGAGGTACATGTTGGAGTAGAAGGTGTATCAGACAATTCTGGGTTTTAAAAATTAGAGTAAAAAGTAAAACTCTAAGACTTGTATCTACCCCACCTTCACACTCCCAAAGCTACTGGCAAGAACCAGGAGCTTTGGAAGGTCGGACTGTGGAATTGAGAGTTTCTTAGAAAGCACCCAACCGATTTCCCTCATTCTGAGGAGGGCAAGATGCAGGCCCAGAGAGGGCAAGGTCACACAGCTGGGTAAGTTGGGACTGGATTCTAAGGGTCCCCTGCCCAGGGTTTCAGGGCCAGAACTCTAACCCCTTCAACCCAAGCCCCCAGCAGTTCCTAGTGCCACCCGTCCCCTCTGTTGTCTGAACCCTTCTTCGGTGGATGCAGCCCTGGTGCACACCCGCCCCCTACTGCAGACTGCACCCCCTGCTGTTTCCGACTGCCCCTAATGAGATTACAGGTTCCTGGTGAGATAGATGAGAGTTAATTCCCTCTGGCTTTAAAAGGCCGGCCAGACCATAAGAAATAACAGAAAGAAAACCTTTCTCTACAAATGCTAAATGTAGATGATAATCCCTGTTCAGCGCACTACGGTTCACCACGGCTTTCACAGATATTCTGTGGATGGGAGGCCGCACCAGCCCTAATAAAGTAGATGCTGTTACTATGTCTGTTTTGTGGTTGGGAAAACTGAGGCACAATGAATACAAATGGCTTGTCCACTGTCATGCAGCTACTAAGTGACAGAGCTGGAACTTGAAAGTAGGTCCCTTGCACACTGTCATCTCTAAAACATAATAGGCCCTGACCCTAGCTGGTGTGGCTCAATGGATTGGGCACCTGGCCTGTGAACCAAAGTGTCACAGGTTCAATTCCCAGTCAGGGCCCAGAAGGGGGCCTGTGAAAGACAACCACACATTGATGTTTCTCTTTCTCCCTCCCTTCCTCCCTTTAAAAATAAATAAATAAAATCTTTTAAAAAATTAAATGTGCAAATACAAGTAATGTGGTTTTACAACACCTGGTGCGCAATAAATAATTAATGTTAGGATTAATTGGCAATTTGATGGTATCTTATTGTCTCGCCTTCAGTTCTTTCTGGAATGAAATGGGGGTGAAAATCAAAGCAATCAAGCAGACCTTTCTCTTGTCCCTCCCAGCAGTCCCTGGTGTATAAGAGGAGCACCTCCCTGTATAAGAGGAGCACTTGGCTTTGAGGTTTGAGCCCCTAGACCACGTGGCCTGCTCTAATTTCCCAGGCCCTAATCTGCTCCCTGTTCCTAATGATGCAGCTAGTAATAGGATTGTGGCTTCCCTCTGGGGCAGCCACGCAGGCCGTGGCTGGGCGGCTGGCAACTGGTGCTTACCAACCCTGACCACCTGCCAGCTAAGGAGCCAGAGCCCCGGCCGGGACCCTGTGCCCTGGCAGCCTCATGTGCACGGAATGGTGCTGTGCCCGGTGCCAGCAGCCTGGGCTCACCATGGTGCTGGGAGCCGTCCTGGCACGAGGGAGGGATGTTTTCAGGAGGAACGGACTTCTCATCCTGTCTGTGCTGTCCGTCACCGTGGGCTGCCTCCTTGGCTTCTTCCTGAGGACCCGGCGCCTCTCACCGCAGGTCAGGCACCCGGGCATCTCTGGGTCCCCCTTCAGGTGGGGTGCGTGGGCCTGAGGGATCTGAGGGTCACATTCCCTCTCCATGACTCCCTGATGACGTGACAGTGGGCAGGTCCCTTTGCCTCTCTGGGCCCAGTGTTCTCATCTGTAACATGGGTATGAAAAATACACTACAGGACTAGAGTGGCATCCAATAAAAAGGCTGAGCGAGTGGTTACAAACGGGCATCACCAGGTGAACGAGAGGCCAAGGATGCCTGGTCAGACTAACCACAGGGCTAAGAGCAGTGGGAGAGGGAAGAACGGGGTCCCTGAGAGTGTAAAGCAGGCATCGGAGAACACCTCCTAAATCAGCTTCTGTGAACAGAGACCTACAAAGGGTACTCTAGGCAGAGGAACAGCAGGAATGAGAACAGAGGCAAGGAAGATTTGGGAGGGCTGTGGAGAGAGCTGCAGCGGCAGCTGGAGCGAAAACACCGTGAGGCCTCTAGATCCCACCACTGAACACGGACTCAGGCAACCACAAGAACTTCTGAACAGGGGCGCGATGTGGTCAGGTCTGAGCTTGGAGAGACCCCTTTGCGCCGGATGGAGGATGGGTAGTGGTGGGACAGGCCGGGGCCAAGTGAGGAGGCAGCTGCAGGGTGAGTGGTGACAGTGGGAGGGATGGGACAGATGGGTGGGAGAACTGTTTCCGAAACAGTAACCTTCAGGGTATGGTGACTAATTGGACGTGGGGTTGGGGGTCAGGGGGACAGGGAAGGGCCCCAGGGTTCTGGCCGATGGAACTGCAAGGTGAGGGTGCCTTGCCTGGGAAAGGGCCCCTTCCCCTCTTAGTCCTAGCTCCTACAGGAGGAGGGACACTCTTGTGATGCTAAAAAAATTACTCTGGCACTTGTTAAAACGATAAGAAAGAATCTATTCAGGTGACAGGTGGCAAGACCCTGGGGAGAGAGATGGGACTCAGATCTGAATACAAAAAGACCGCTGGGGATCTACAGCCAATGAGCACAGCGAGGGGGTCCATGAAAAAGGGCAGGATTCTTGTTGAAGGAGAGTGGGGATTCTCACTAAACCGACTTAGCAGACTTTTTGCTGCATCCGTGCTAGGCCGGCCGAAGACAGGGCCCAGGGATGGGGCCTAATCAAAAAGAGGGCTCGGAGCAGCCTGCCTAAAGTTTGGTCAAGGAACCTTGGCAATGGACTCCTGGAAAACTCCCAATTTCATAAAATACGTCTTCCTGGAGTTCGCTGAGATCTAATATGAACTCCACAACTGGGGCCCAGGCTGTCCAATTCTGTCCACTTTCCCGCTGAAAGGAAAACACCCTCCCTGGGCCCTGAGCCACCGTTCCCGCAGCGGCTGTCAGGCCACTATCGGCACTTTAGGGAGAAGCAGGGGCCCTGCAGGCAGGGGAACCTGGCCTTGGACTCCACGAGTACGTGGCTCTGTGACCCTAGGCAAAATCCTGTCTCCTTTCTGGGCCTGAGTCTCCTTGTCTATAAAATGGAATGGGGGGGGTCTCCGTGTCCATGAGAATTGCTGAGGAGTACACGGAGATCCATCAGCTCCTGGTGTAGAGTGGGTGCTCAGGGAATGTTGCTTCCCGCCTCCCTCCCTCATCTACCTGTCCAAGTCCCACCTGCATCAAGACCACCTCCTGCTCCATATCTCATAAAAATGCATCCAGACCTGCCCATATCTGAAATAATACTCTCCTCCCACACTCGCCCCTGCTCATCCCTCCACTGCACCCCAGCTGTCTGCTGTCTTGCTTCGGAGCCATCTGTGTAGGAGTCTGTTTCTCCCATCAGACTTCAACTTGCTGAACATCACACGGGCTTTCTGAACCAAACTGTGAGCCGAGCACGGTGCTTATCACAGAAAGAGCCCCCAACTCTTTGCCGAATTGAACTGGCAATGGCACAGACCATTGGCTTTTTACCTTCTTTAATGTTCCTCAAAAACAGAAATATACTTCCTGCAGGAAGATTATTTTGTGAAAACAAGTTTGGAATGCCTATTATCAAAAGCCAAACTCATCTGGGGCCTCTTTTGTCAAAGCTGCCTTCCCCATCTGTTTGGAAATGCAAACGTATTTCAGTCTGGATTAACCTGCCAGATAAACTGAAGGAAGGATTGGAATCTTAGAACAATTATTTGGCAGGAATTGGCTTTCTCAGCATCTCACTTTGAAATCCAGGAGTTGTTTGTTTGATCTCTGCCTGTGACTCAGAAACCAAGCGCTTGTTATTTTGTAAGCTGATGCAACAGGCAAAAATCATAAACAATTTGTAAAATGGTAGAAGATCCTATTTGAGAAAAGAATTTACAAAACCACAAGGATTTGTAATTTGGATTGTTTTTTTGAAATTAGTATCTCATTTAAAAACACACATCATTTTGAGCATTCCAATTAAACCATGGTGAGTTTACAATTGTACCCATTTTCCTTTCCTCCCTGGAGTTCTATCAAAATTATAGTAATGGAAGTTTTAAAAGACATAAACTCTGAAAAACAAAGAGAATGTAAAAGGAGACAATTGAGAAAAGTTGGCTGACTACAATCAATGAGGCAAGACAGGAAATGGATAGAGTCGAATGGCCTCATTTAAGAGGGCACTGAAAGCTAAAATCTGTGTCCATAGAAGTAGATACCACATGAGTTCATCTTGGCGAACTCCAGAAGGGCTGGGGACCAGGTGCCGCAGGAAGCAGGGGTGAAGCGCAGAGTTGAGATCAGGGACTTTGGTTGGAACTTTGCAACTGGAACAGTTAGACCCCTGGGTTGTTTCCAGCTCAAGTACTCAGGGGTTTCCTCATCTACCCATCTCCACCCACCTGCCTGTCCCAAGGAGCCAGAGAAGTTTGACTTAGGGATATTGGTGGAGGGGAGGTGGTGAGGTGCATGCTGCAAACAAATTGGTGGAGACCTGTATTCTGAGTGTGGGGTCCCCAAAAGATCCCTGTCAGCTGGCCTTAGGCCTAGCACCCGCCCTCCCCCAATCAGAGGAAGAAGAGACTTCTCTCACTGAAGCCTCTGAGAAAAGATCTCCAAATTCTGCTGCAGTGGAGACTCCTCTCCCACCCCACCCTGCCCCCAGAGAAAAATCACCTTTCCTTGGGTTGACAGGCCCCGCTCGTGCATACAGGTCCTCACACTCACGTGTGAGCAGAAAGTCACAGTCATAGTTCCTAACACAAACGCAGAAACTGAACACATGAAAATGCTGGTGTCTAATGGAGCGGAAACAATGCAGGGAATAAAAGAAAACTTTTGAAACCTTTTCTTAAATTCTTCGAAGATACGAGAGAAGGTATGGGGATCATAAAATGGGATGGGATGCAAAACGAAGGGACAGTCAAAGAACAAGAAAGAGCTTTTGGAAATTTAAAATAGATGAGCCAAGATGAAAATATCAATAGCTGGGATGAAGTTGCAGAAATATCACAGAAAGTAAAAATGAAAACAGAAGAAGAAAATATGAAAAAATTAGGATGTCCAACATTTAACTCTCTAATAAGAGTTTTAGAAAGCACAAACAAACAAAAAGAAAGACAAAAAAATTCACAGAGAATAGAAGAAAGTTTCCCAGAAATGAAAGGTCTGCATAGCACTATGAATTTTTTAAAAAGAAAGAAGAAAATCTCATACCATCGTACATCACCACACAAATTACAGAAAATTGGAGAGAAATGGATGATCCTTAAATGGTTCTGAGGGAGTAAAACAAGTCTCATGTAATGACTAGTTAGTAAGAGAAGCTCAAAAAACCTTAAGCAACCCTGGAATCCAGAAGACAAAGGGTAAGTGCCTTTAAAATTCAGAGGGGAGATGATTTTATTTATTTCTTTATTTATTCATTCATTCATTTATACTAAATTTATTGGGGTGACATTGGTTAATAAAATTATACAGGTTTCAGGTGTACAATTCTATAATACACCATCTGCATATTGTTATTGTGTGTTTACCACCCCAAGTCAAGTCTCTTTGGAGGGGAAATTCTTCTAAACTAAGAATCTTATATCTGGCCAGACTAGTATCAGAGGTAAAGGTAGAATAAAGGCATTTTTTCTCACGTAAAGACTCAGAAGTTTCTCTCCCACTCACTCCTACTGAGGAAGCTACCAAAGGAGATGTTCCAGCAAAACAAGGAAGTAAGACAAGGGGTCCAGGGAAGAGGAGGTTCCAGACAGGAGGAAGTCCCAAAAAGACAGCAAAGAAGAGGCCCAGGACAACCCCCGGGCCTGGAGAGCAGTCTGTCGGAAGTGGGGCGGGAAGATGGAGAGAGCTTGGACTGAGGCCCCAGGAGGCATAAAAGGAACTGATATGCCTGAATGTATAGAAAATACTCTCGTTAAGCCTATTCATTTATTTGAGAAATTACATCCAAATTACTTTTATGTGTTTTAAAAAGTCCTAATGAGCATCCAAGAACAAAACATGTACAGCTTCCACAGGAATGAGAACAACAAAAAATGGGGTCAATGATTGCCCCAAATGATATTTCCTAAAAGAAAAAAACATAATTATTTAACCTTTCTTCTTTTGAGGCAGGGTAGGTGAACTGCACACATCATAAATAAAATTTTCTTGCTTTACAAGGTGGAAGGACTGTGATCTTGTTTTGATACATATGAAATATAAAATATAAAATCCATTCTTCTGACCATGAAAGGGAGAAAATCATTCTTCAACATTTCAGTTCTCATACAATGAAACCCAAAGCTCTGTTGAACCCACCTTCTCCGTCGGGTCACACACTGCCTGTACTTCCTGTCCTGAGACACCCTTACGGCGGGGTAGGCATTTACAGAGCCACCCACCTTTTCCCCTCTTGTGGAGACAAATCCCATTAACTTCCTCATCCTTACTTCTTCCTCTGTTTTGCCCTTGAAGTCTTCCTCAGTAATCTGATGTTCTTTGCTCTTTGTTTCTTTCTTTTCCTCGCCTCTCCTTTATTTCAGTTGAGAAGGGGAAGGAGATGTGGGTCTCTGTCGTCTTGTGTATCTGGGGAGTCTTCTGTGCAGGGATCTGGAGTGGCACCTTCTCTGATCTCTCTCCCAGAACCGGGACCCTCCTCAGCAAGCCCGTTCTCTCTCCCGGACTGGACCGGGACTGGACCGGAACCACCTACCTCCCTCTCGGGGAGTGGCCTCGGCCTTGTTAGGCCTTTTTAAAGAGTTAGAGCATTTGGAAGAAATTAGTGAGTGGTTTACAGAAAATGAGACATGAAAAATCAGTCAATTATTAACTGCAGGAAAGAAAGGTTATATAAAAAATGAAAGTTGTAGCTTATTACTAGGCTCAACAGTGAACAATATTTTTATGATCAAAATATTGTAAACCTCAATTGAAAGGTTTTCTTAGGCTCTGCCAAGGAATAAATGCTAATCAGCCACAAAGTTAGGCAGTATATTGGAGTTTGCGCACCCGGGCGAGGTTCCCCGTCCACACAGTGGGGCCGGGAAAGTCCGCCTGAGCAGGGAATAAGGCGGGGTTTTGTCTTGGTTGGCTCTCTTCGTGGGGGCTAGGGATTGGTTCCCTTTGAACAAAGCGGCAACGTATCATTGGTGGTTCTCCTCCGCCCTGGTTTGACGTCAGCCGTCTTTTCCAGGTTGTAGTTCAGCCGCCATTTCGTCCTACCCCGCCTACCCTGACATCGATGATTAATTTAACCAAAAACTGATACAATGGTGAAATGGTAGGAGGAAAAGGGGAATAGTAACTAAGACTTTGGCTGTCATGGCAGATGTCAGAAAGGGACGTGAATAGTTGTCAAAAAGGTACACCTATAAAATAGTATTATAACCATATTATTCAGAAATAACAGTTCTAAGGAAAACAGCCAAAGGAACACAAGGGAAGTCGGGATCGGGACAGAGGTGGGCGAGGAAGGGGCTGCTTTCAAAATATAGTGCTATTTAAACTAAAGATTACACACAGGGGGTAAAATTAATTAAAAACACATAGCCATGATCGGCATATTTTTAAAATCAGGATTTCTGGGGCATCGGGAACGGGGGCAGAAGAGGCCCAGGAGACTGATCTCCAGGCCTTTCTGTCGCTCGCTCGCTCTGTGGGGCAGTCACCTCCCTCTCGGGCTCAGCTTCCTCATCTACAAAGTGAGTCAGCGAGACTAAAACATCTTTCAAAAGCCCTTCGTGGCACCAAAATTCTATGATTTGGAGCTTTTCAAATCATCAGACCATTAACCAAGTGTTATGTTTGGCTTTGGTTTGGAAAAACATAGTTGCCAGCACAAAACCTCAACTTGGACGGTGTTTGCAAGGCCATGTACCAGCCTTTCCCACAGCCTGACTCCCTGATGAAAGTGGCCTCAAACGAGGCTCGCCAGAAATAGCAAAACTGAACTAAATGAAATTTTAAAACAGCACACCCAGTTCCATTTGAATTTCAGATAAACAACAAATAATTTTTAGTATACGTAAAGAACAAATATTTGTTGTTTATCTGAAATTCAAATTTTACTAGGCTTAGGAGCCTGTTCTGGTTTGGATGTCAGCATCTGGTCATGTGACGGATGCCTCTGGAGATAGCTGATTAGGCAAGAATTTACAGCCCAATCCAAGCCCCAGGGGCAGGCTGGAACCAGCAGCCCATGAGCAAGCCCAATCTAAGAACCCTGTCCAGTAGGGACTCTATACTGAGTGGCGTCTCACCAACCCAATCTGATTCTCTTTTGGCATTTTAAATGTGAGACCTGCTGTGAGGGGCTTTCTGGGGGCGCACAATGGACCCAACAAAGAAGAAACTGGCTCTGGAATGCCACGGTCTGTCAAAAGTCAGCCTCCTTATGAACTAGACAGAGAACATTCAGGGCCAAAACCGTGCCTAATGCATTTTGGGGTAGCCAATGGGATGCCCAGCACAGTATTTGCCAAATGAATGTGTGACCAGCATGCAGCCCTGCCTTCGTGCCTCTTACTGTCTGCTGCACGGGACAGACTCACACGGCGACTGGCGACGGGCGTGAATGGTGCAGAGGTGAGGGGTGGGGGGAGGGCCCCTGCTATTTACTGCGATACTGAACGTTTACTCTCATCCAGGCCCTCTGCTCAGTGCTTCGTGGGCATCCTCTCATTTAAGCTTCCCAATGATCCTGTGAAGTGGTTACTACCCTCATGTTACAGATGAGAAGAACTCAGAGAGGTTGAGTAGCTTGCTTTGAGGCCACACGGCTAGTTACAGGGGCGTGGGGAAGTCTGGCTCCCAAACCTGCGCTCTCTCCACTACTCTGCCGCCCATGGGCTGGACGAGACAGTGCGTGTGAAATAGTGCCTTAAAGGTCAAGACCTGAGCAGCTGCAAAGTCTGCACTGCCTGCTATAACCTGGGCTCTTGGTGTGTTTTCAGGAAATTAGTTACTTCCAGTTTCCTGGAGAGCTCTTGATGAGGATGTTGAAGATGCTAATCCTACCGCTGGTGGTCTCCAGGTGAGGGGCAGGGCGCTGGCTGGAAAGCCTGGGGCAGGGAGAGGAGAGGATAGGTTCCGTGGGGATCCTGCTCCACAGGCTGCCCCTGTGGGCCTGGGAGCAGTGTGATCGTGGGGCCCGTGTGGGCCAAAGGATGGGGCGTGGGCTGCTAGGGACTGAGCCGTTCGTGGCACCAGCTATTTCAGTCACTGGGCGAGTCTGACTTCAGGGTAGCTCCAGGCCGGGGGTTCAGGGGCAATTCATGGTGAACGCAGCAGGGTGTGGGGGAAAGATGACTTTGGAGACACTCATGAGATGACATCCTGGCTCAGCTGTGTATGGTGCTGGCTATGTACCCTCAGACAGGTCATCAAACTTTTCTGAGCCTCAATTTCCCCATCTGTAAACTGAAATATCACAGCTACTCCCAAAGCTTATTGTGAGGACTATATGAGGCTATGTATCTGTGTGCACTGCGTGTTCAGGGGCTGGATCTCAGGGTGTGAGGGAGGGAGGGTGGGAGATGAAGCTGGAGCGGGGCCTCTCACTCAGTCATGAAAGACCTTGAATGTCAGGCTAGAGAATTCAGGCTTCACCCACTAGATCGAGGACCGCAGGAAGTCACTGGAGAGCACGTGGTCCCTATCACGGATGTGCTGCGTGGCCTTGGGCAGGACCCTGCCCCTTTCTTTTCCAAATGTGCAGTGTGCTGGCTGCTCCAGATGGTGTCTAAGGGCCCTTTGCTCTGAGGCTGTGGGTCTGGAATCCTCACTTCCCAGGACTTCTCTGCAGAGAGGGAAGCGGACAAGCATCCGAGGCCTGAGGGGTGTAGTGGGCTCTGTCACGGAGGCAGGGTCATCAGCCTCCCTTACTGAGGAATGAGACAGCTCCTCCCCCTCCCTGTGGAGAGGCACAGAGAATGCTCCCCAGGCCCTGAGGCCAATCAGTGGCACTTTTCTGCTCAAGCGCAGTTCAGCTCTTAGGTCTCTCAGGAGTCAGCTCTGCTGAAATGCCACCTCCCTCCAGAAGCTTTCCCTGACTTCTCAGCCCTCTCTGCTTGTTGTCGCATCTCTACACACCTACTTGGTCGTTGACTGAGTCAGTGAATCTGTCAAAGTTACCGGTGGCCTCTGTGTTGCTAAATCCAAGGCCACTCTCCATTCTTGCTCTGCCTGACCTCTCCACAGTGACCAGCACACCTGACACAACCCCTGATCACTCTTCACCTCCCGACACGCTCTCTGCTGAGGGCCGGCAGAGAGTGGTTCAGGAGGGAACCACTTTCCCCGGCTCTTTTGCAGCAGAGAGTGTTTCGGGAAGAGGCACTTCCCTGGCTCTTCACTTGTTCTCTGCCCCCCGCCCCTGTCTGTTTCTCTCCTTCTACTTGACCTCTAAGTGTTGCAATGTCTTAGGCTTTTTCTAATCTGTCCTTATGGCTTTAATATCCCACCTATATGCCCAACACTCCCCAGTATAGATCTTCTTCCCTGAACTCCCCACACAACACCTACTATCCATTGTTCTTTTATATATAGTCAGTTGCTGACTGTATCTGTATCTTCCCCTGGACCATAAACTCTGGAAAGGTAAAGACAACATTCTGTCGAGGTTCCACTCTGGACCTAGCCAAATGCCTGGCGCACAGTAGGTACTCATTAATACTTGTCAGGTGAGTTCATGAATGAATTCAACAGTCGTGCATTGAGCTTTCTGGGTTCTTGGCCCTGTACTGGGCGCTGCAGATACAGAGCTGAATGAGGCTCCATCCCTGAGGAGCTCACAGGCTGAGAGGGAAGCCGCTGAGAAAGAAAAGGGACAGTTACATGATAGCTAAATAAGTTAATGCAGGAAGCACAGGACTATTGTCCCCCTTCTTCCCAGTTTTATTGCAAAGTAAAGCACAGGACTCTTATTAGGCAGCTCCACCACCCTTGACTGTTGACCATCCTGAATGCCTCTTACCCCCTGGTGAGGAACACGGAGCCGGACAGAATTGGGCTCCCACCCTGGCTCTGCTGTTTTCTGGCTGCATGACCGGGGGCAAGCTGTTTGCTTTAAAAGACTTCCTGAAGTCAGAGGGTCAGATGTCTGGGTCCTGGATCTGCTTGCACCACGATTATCACATGGCCTTGGCTAAGGCACTCCTGGCTCTGGGCGTGATGGGTCCAGTTTACCTAGTGACTAAGGGCCCGTTCAGCTGTCCAAGTCCGGGCGCTCAGAGGCCTGATGTCTCTCCGCCCGACCGAAGCACTTTCTCTTGGCTGGAAGTGGAATGTGGTATTAACTTGAGAAAAAGCCAGTGTGTGTTCATACATTTAGTTTGTTTATTACACAGTCTGGGCTGGTGCAGAGCAACCGTGTCATTGAAAAAAGGCAGTGCTTTGAAATTTTCCTACTAAGGGAGAGTTAAACCTCCTTGCGGGAAAAAAAGACACATTTCTGAGCACCAATCCCCCTGTGTCCTTGAAGTCTGCTTTCTTTTCCTTCACCTGGCCCATAGTCCATCTGTCCATCCCTCATCCGTCCATGCACTGCCCGCAGTGCCCAGGACTCCTGCTCCAGCCAGCCCAGGTGGGGCGTCCTGGTCCTGAGGAGCCACCACTCTGGTGTGGGGACTGTCACTCAGGGCTGAGCAAAATCACTGAAGCGGCTTTGAAAATTCAGATGTCGGGCCTCATGCTGGGCTTATGGAACCAGACCCCGGAGGGGCCCACACAGGTGTTTGTTTTAAAAGTCCCACAAGTGTTCTAATGGTAAAGAAAACCCCAAAGCCCCAATGACTTGGGATCAGGCCTTCTGGCTGGAGCTACAGAGCCTGGTGTGAGGGCTGCTGCTCTTCAGTCCCTACTCTGTCCCAAGTGGAGCTGCAGGAGACACAGGCTCACTGCAGTGCGATTGCTCCAAGGCAGAGGGAGGATGCACATTTGCTTCTAGTTCCAATAACCTGTGAGTTTGGGCTCCAAATCCTGGCACTCGCCTCCAAATGCTCTGAGCTCTTTTCCAGGAGAACCTACCACCTCTTCCCTATGCCAAGTTCCTGGAAGCAGGCTGGTCACTGGTTAGTCCCTAAGCATGCCACAAGCTTTTCTACCTTCCACGCTTTTGCCTGTGCTGTTCCCCCACCCCCTTCCACAAATGCCTTCTTCTCCTCTGAATTAAGTCCCACTCTATGTTCAAGACCTAGCTCAAGTTCCCGTCTGACAAATCCTCCCAGCTCTTCATTTATTAACAAACACTGATGCTGACCTCTCCCCACTGTCGATGCAGATGCCACCCTGGATGTGCTCAGTTTCATTATTAAACGACTTTGCAGTCACAGCTGGCATACTGCACTATGGGGCACTGACACCTCTTTTGGTACAGTAGCGACATGGAAATTCATCAGTATTCCTACCTGGACTAGCCACTCTGGTGCTAAACACGTGCTCCAGCCAAGGGGCAGGACCAGTCACCACGATCCTCCACATGCATCACTGTGTTTTTATCTGAGATGCTGCGGGGTCAGGTCCACCTTCCCTTTGCCATCCACACTAACCTCCACCCAGTGGTCCGTGTAACCGATTTTTGCAGGAGAAGGAAGTCTAACGGACAGGCAAAGAGAGAGAGAGAGATGTAAAGAAGTATGGGCAATAATGGCAGATGTTGATGCAAGGGCTGAAAGGACCCTGTGCCCGCCTTCGAGGGTCTCACTATTTGGCAGGGAGACAGTCACAGAGACACTTTGTCCACAGAGACACTTTGTTCCAGAGGGAGGGCGGTGGGGCCAGCTGGCCTGGGTTGGAGCCCAATTTAGTCACTCTTCCCACAGTCTGGCACCTTCCAGCACTTTTCTCTACAATCCACTGCAAGCCAGCAGCTCTTCCAAGCCCCTCCTCAGCCAGGCATGCCACCGCCCAGCTGGGAGCAACCTATCCCTGGCCGTCTGTGGCTTTGTAAGTCTCAGGGAGGGCGGTGAGCAGACAGCACAGGTCGGGGTGCTGAGAATCTGCGAGAGGCTCCAGGGAAAGAATGGGAACTTTGGGGTCACTCACTAGAGATGTGAACTTAACCAAGTCTCTTAGCATCTGAGCCGCGGTGACCTTGTCTGTAAAATGGGAAGAAGACCTCCCTTCCTTACTGGGTTTTTCTGAGAAGGACATAAGATAATGTACTCAAAACACCCAGCATGGCTCCTGATACACTGTGGATATCACATGGTTTTCTAACTTATTAAAGCTTTGCCAGGCTTCTCCAAGGCCCAGATGAGATGTTTCACAAAACCCTTTCCCTCTGCTTCTGCTCTCAGCAGAAAGTCCCTTTGGGTGACCTCCTCCTTCCTTATGCTTTTACTTAGCACCTCAGCTTGTCACTTCCTCTGGAAAGTCTGCCTTGACTCAGGCACACTTGGGTGCATCCTCCACACCGACACAAACCTACTTGAGTCCTGCACGTCTGTGTTCATGGCAGCCCGTGCGTCAGCATAAAGCGTGCCGTCACCTCGGCCCAGAGCCCTTCCCTGCGCCCTGACTGAAGCAGCCCCTCGTTTACCAGGAACTCCCAGCGCTCACTGTCTCTGGCTTTCTCGGCCCTCACAACCCCACAGGGAGCCATGAGGCACGGCCTTCACCAGCTTCCCACCCTCCTGAACGCCCCTCCTTCAAGAGGCTCATAAGTTTTGCAGCTTCACTGACAGTTGGGATCAAAACCACAGACAAGGGTCACATTGAAGAGTGTCAGCCCTTCAGCCACCTCTCGGTTCTCTTTCCCTCTCTGTACATTAGGTGTCTATGCTGGCTGACAAATTACCACAAACTCGGGGACCTAACACAACATCCACTCATTATCTACCAGTCTCCACGGCAGGGCTTGGTGGGATTCTCTTCTTTGGGGGGGGGGGGGCGGTAGGGGTGGCATCTCACAGGGCTGCATCTCACAGGGCTGCAATCAAGTGTCAGTGTCAGCTGGGCTGTGTTCTCATCTGAAGGCTTGGCCAGGAGGAAGTCATTTCCTTGTGTCTGTCTGTCTGTGTGTCTGAGGGCCCA